AACGGAGGAAAGTTCAAAAATCATGAAACGTGTAAAAAAAGGTAAAACCACAAGAAGTTTTGCTTCTTCACTGATGGGAATTGCAAATGAAAATGCAATGTCTTCTGATGACTCTTTGACTATAAGTGACGAAGATAAAATAAGATTGCAAATATTATTAGATGTTAAACAATTCGGAAAAGAGGTACGTTATTATTGTGCTGTTGATGTTATACTATTAAAAAATGGCATTGAAACCTTTACATTTTTTTTAGCTTTCCAATTTTGGAATTAATCCAGAAGAAATTAAAGGGTACAACATGATAGATTTGCTTGCTGGAAGTTTCAATGAAGGAGAATCTAAATTGTCAATAATAAAATTAGATGCAAATATTATTAGATGTTAAACAATTCGGAAAAGAGGTACGTTATTATTGTGCTGTTGATGTTATACTATTAAAAAATGGCATTGAAACCTTTACATTTTTTTTAGCTTTCCAATTTTGGAATTAATCCAGAAGAAATTAAAGGGTATATTGAATTATATAAAGTTGTCGAAAATTTTGGTATGTCAATTAATTGAACAATTTGTTTATGTTATATTTTATATATTAATTTGTTTATTGTTGTTTATAGAATCCATTCAAAAATCTTAAATAAATCATATATTTATATTAATATTTAATACATATTAATTAATTGGCAACAAGAAAATAGACTAATAATGTAAAATAGTTTATAAATAGATGAAGATTGAAAATTAGATTGATATTTATACATAATTATATAATTGCTTTTGTAATTTTAATATTTAAATAATATTTAATTTATTTTGGTGTGGGAGGATAATTTTATATATGATAAACTTATACATTTATATAATACTATACAACATAAAACAGTAATGAGTGATAGTAATAGTAATATAATAATAACAACAACATTATCATTATCATCAAGAATAACAATAATAATAATCAATTAATTATATTAATTTCACTGATTTATAATAATTAGAGAAATCTAAAATCTCTAAAAATTCACACACACATAATTTTTTCACATTTTTTAAATAAAAATAAATAAAGTCTTAT